GCAGGGAGACATTTTTGAAAATCTCATGTAAATCCAGTCGTCTTCTAAAGCACTACAGTTTAAATGAAACAGATTGATAGAAGGGTGTGATATGCAACCATTGGTATGTTTACAGAATGGGATGCTGAAAATAATGCAACATAAAATCCATGAAAAATGTTGCATAATGCAAAATTAAGAAATTAAAAAAAAAAGGGTTTTAGAATGCTTCTTTCCTAAAACATTAATGATTTAAAAAAGTGTTTGTATTGTATTTCTAATTTGTTTTGACTGAAATTTGAAGGAAAAAAAAATGTTTCGCCAGTTTTCAAATTACTGTATCTCTTTAATTATGAGTTGGATACCATTAGTATATTAAATTTTTTTGTTCCAAATTACCTCAGGAATACCCTAAGTGGGGTAAAACTTCGTGACTCACCCTGTATAATAACTTTATAATTATAACGTTAATGATCCACATCATTGTCTAATGGCAATGCACCCTCAAATATGTTTTAGACACATTATACCTGAGCCAAGCTGAGGATGGTACGACTAATCAATACAGGTCTCCTGGAGGTGCCATCTTCTTTCAAAATTTGGACCAGACTGCATTTGATATGGTGCAATAAATTAATGTCTTCACATCTTAGCTGTAATACGTTGCAATCCACATTCAGCAGGAGCTTGATAAAATGCCAGCCAACATACAACTGCAGCTCTCTTCCTGTCACTACCTGCACAATACCATTAATTACTAACTCCTTGGCAAAGGATGTTCCTTTAACAGTTTATTATTATTCTGCTGATGTTGAAGATAGGGAAGAGACACAGCATTTCATGCCTTACTACTGTCATCATGCCAGCTCATTAACTGGATGCTATTTTGAGCTACTTCACTAATTCACAGCCAGTTTTTCTATGTTCCATTTTAACAACCTATCTATGGCCAGATTTTCCACATTCTGAAACGTTTCTGTGCCAACAAATCTGTAAGCATTTCCTGTTACCTCAATGGCCATCCTGTTAGAACCTTCCTGATGTATCAAACCCTAGCAATATTGGGTGGGCTATAAAAATCATGAATTGCATTATTTACTATTGAAAGAATGTGCTTTAGCAGGATTAAACAAGTTAAGAAAAAGAGTATTTGGCATAAAACATATACTTAATTTTCTCTACCACTTTTGTTTGAAATATTTTCACTCTAATAGATATTTAGCAAGTTACACTCAAGATGCAAGTAGAAACATGTTTGTCTTCATGTAAAGTGTCCATTATTGTTGCCTTACTTTAACCAAAATTAAAATTTGTTGGCAAATTTTAGCAGAACTCTCCAGAATCAAAGAGTAACCATTTCTGTGTTGCAACATCAACAGAAACAGGCAACAAGCTTGATGCCTGCTTCTGCTCGCCTCTGTTACTTTCTTGCTTGGCTCATTCTTTGACACTGAAAACAGAGATGTGTTCCTCCAAATCCTTGAGTTCTGTATGAACTACAATGAGCTGCAACCTGGAAGACCATGCTCTTCATAGTCACTACGCCGAGAACCTCAACTCAAATATCTCCATTAATAGAAAATCTGTTTTGCATGTGTTACTAGTGCAGTCAGTACACTGACTGGCCACAGGCTACACAACCAAGGAGTCAAAGTTTGAGACCCAGTGCGTCACTTCTGCAAGTCATCCAGCCTCCTATCAAATGGGTACCAGGGGCTCTTTCCCTGGGAGGGGGAGGGGCATAAAGTGGCTGGGGTGTGAAGCTAACCACTCCCTTCCCACATACATCTTCATGGCATAGTGCTTAATTAGGTAAGCACAGAGACAACTTTACCTTTACCTTTTTACATGTACATAGAAGCTTGAGGGAGAGAAGACAAACACGTCGAAGCTAATGGGTGCACTTTTGTGACTCTTTGTTGTAATCACCCCAGAGGAAAATAACACTTACAGAGGTTTCTAAGATGGAAATATTCTACTCTGTAATATTCATAATGGGCCAGCCAGCCCTACTACTGAGAATAATGATGATATAATGATTTACCTCAGAAAAAAGATGTCTGCTGTTCTTGATAATTGCAGCCCATATATCACTGGGATCTGTCCATTCTTTGAGCAACCTAAACTCATATGTATGTTGACTAGTCTCTGCATTCTGTTGTGACTCGAGCCTCTTCATATTTTCTCCCATGTGACTATGGGCTATCTTCAATAGGTCCTCTGATAATGAATTCTTAGTGAACTGAGAAAAGGGGAAAAAGAAGTAAGATACATCTAGTGTGGTTACTGCAACAGGAATCACTGCCCAAAGTGTGGCTTTTGTTTCGCTCTCTTCCGAAATCTTGGCAATCAACCTACAAGACACGTGAATGGGGCAGAATGGTTCTGGAATGTTGGCCATAATAAATGTTTTCACACTAACACCTTTTCGGACTCTCTGTTCCAGCTTGCTAGTCTGATTAACACTCATCCCATTTGTAGTTATAGATACACACAATGACCATGTTTCTGGACAGTAATCTTGATCTTCATTGTTCTTCAAATGGATTTCAAATCCATATTTCCCAACATCACTGCCTTTGGGGGTATCATAAACCTGTAAAAAGTGAATCATACACAACAGTTACATTAATTTGGACAGACAATCTACCCTGTACCATTTCAAGATTTCAGTAAAGAAACATAAAGACATGGGCATTTAAGAGAAGATTCTATTAATAATGGAAGTTAATTGGTTAAAAATGTAAGATTTAAAGATATGTCACAGAAGGTACAGACATTCAAGAATGTGTGTGTTATAAGGTTATAAATTAAGGGAACATCAAAAGATACATGGATGAAATTGTATTCCACAATGACTATTCCTCATGTAATTCTCTAGCAGCAACAGATGAAATTTAGAAAAGGCTTATTCTTTAAAAATTAAGTTATCAAGTATAAAAAGGTAAAGTTGTCCATGTTCTTCATTAATTAAGCACCACACATGAAGGCATGGCAGAGAGTGGAGGTAGAGCTCCACCATTCTTGACCTTGGCACTAGATGGAGGTCAGTGGTCAGCTTCATTCCTTGGACAGTTTCCCTGGTGAAACAGCCTCCAGTACCCATCAGCTGAGTGGGCCCCAGAGCTGGTCTGGACACTGTGGGATAGAGAAAAATCTCTTGTTCTGCCAGGAATCACACTCCAGCTGTCTAGCCTGTATCCTGTATCGTGAGCTATCCCAGCTCAAAAGTTAGCAAATATGCACTCATTTATTAAAGAGAATAAGAAATTAACATAGCAGAATCTTTAAGACATCTTGGAAACCCTCAGCTCAGGTTAGGGCAGAAAAGTAGGCTCTGTTGGTAAGTTATCCTGTTCCACCACAGTGATCCATGAACATATTTTGGTCAACAAAAGTATTATCCGTACTTCAGATTGGAATGTGGGTTATGTACCATGTAATTAAGTAGTTACCAACATTTCAGAAAAGCATGCTGCATCCTTATTAATTGCTATCCTGCAGATGGGGGCATAAGGTTCCTTTGAAACAATGGTGAACTACTGCATGACTATACAATGTCCAACCCTGAATATGATAATTTAACTTTCACCATTAAAACCTCAAATATGTAGCTGATTCCAAAAGTAAGGTCTCCAAAGCGCTGGGTAATTTTTCGTGCGGCTGTTGGGAACCCTGTTGCATTCGTTGCTTCCCCCACTCCCCCCAATACCACCAAGCATGCGCGCACGTAGCTAGGACGCTCAGTCTTGGCACGGTTGCCGTTAGAAATGGAGCTCCCGATTACTAAAACCGCGAAGTGTGAGATTCGCGCAGTTATTCGGTTTTTGAACGCAAAAGGGACTAAACCAATTGAAATTCATCGTCAATTGGTGGAAGTGTA